GATTGATGGATGGATTGATGGATGGATTGATGGATGGATTGATGGATAGATTGATGGATGGATTGATGGATAAATGGACATATGGTCTCAGTATGTTCTCAGTGTATTCTCGTGCTGGCGTGACACATCACAACGTCTGGACACTCCCCCACCTCCAAAACCGCACCGCACAATCGTTCGGGTCCATTCTCCGAACTCATGCGGGGAATCATCTGGGGGAGAGGCTGCGGCTCGCGGTCCGGCTCATGATCTTCGCGAGGGGCGCGTGTATCGGAGTCTTCTCGCAGCGCTAGGACATGAAGAGTGCCATCTTTTCTGCACATCGGGACATGCCAAAGATCCACCCCAACCTGGGCAACAAGCGGATGGGTTGGGATAGGTTGGTGTGAATTGGTGAACTCCCATGATGGTTGCAAGATGTTGCAAGCGTAGGGACAGGACACATGAGGCTCTTTGCCCTGCATGTAGGGCATGCGGCATGTATGCATTAGTGGATTACAACAAAGAATACATCATATATAGTTTCAAAGGGCCTGTCCAATTTGCAGCACATCCCCTATTTCTTGGATCTTTGGATCTTTGCGGGTGCACAGGACATGTCCATCCTCCCCGGCTCTTCCACGAGATCCGACCGACCCATCCCTGAGTTCCGTCTTCCTTCGGTGCTCAGCTGCCCGGAACGTTGAAGCCCCCTTCAATGAGATGCGCAAGCATGGTGGCGTCCCGTTCTGCTCCTCCGGCTGCAGCGCATCGCGCTTGGACTGGTTCATGAAGTCTCGAAACTGAGGCACCTCCGTTGAATGGAAGAAGATCCCGGAACTGCCAGGATCCGCTCATACTGAAATGGAGGATGGGGGGTGCCCATGATCCACTCACTGGATGGGACTAAAAACAATTCCTTTGGAACTGCTGGTCTGGAAAATCAGGAAGGCTACTTTGACTGGGTTCAGTGTTTATGGCACAGTTGGGCTTTGAAGGAAGCTAAAGTAGAAGACGGGGTTGATGCAGAATCCTCCCGAACAATGCAGCAGAGTGAACAAAACCTGATCCTGGTCCAAGGTGTTCAACAGTAAACACATGTAAAAACCAGTATCCTGTTCAATGGGACTGTAGAATTGGTGGCGCTGACCCGGAGACCTTCTGGATCAACCAAACGCTGGGAAAATCGCTCGGGCTATCGCTGGGTGGGGAGAAGAGTTGCAGCATATTTGTTTCAACATGCAAATGGCACAACTCCCACAGCAAGCGGCTGTAACGACCGAGTACGGGGTCGTGCTGGTTCGTGTCCCCTTGGACCTTGTTGAAGCTCTTCGAACCCATTTGCTTGCTGTTGGGTATTCTCTTACACTCTGACGAACACATCATGTGGAAGTGCATGGCATCCCATGCCATCCACTGAACCCATGTGATGTGATGTGTTCTTTAGAGTAAGCTGTGTGGACAACTTGACACAACTCTGACTCTATATCACCAAAACTTGACAAAACTCGGCGCGCAATTCTCCACTTCCGACCAGGCCACTTCAGACGGGAGCAGCAACTCCTCAAAATCCTTCCCTTTGAAGCTCCCAGCGTGCATCAACAAATGTTTCAGGCATCCGGTGTCTTCCTGGATCTTCATCTCATCGTCCAACAAGACCTGGATGCGAAGATCTGAAGACGATCTGAAGCAACGAAGACAAGAAACAACCAACAAGACCAGGGATTTTCGATCTTCCAAGCAGGGAGCATTGTTCCAAGAAACAGGCCAATCTCATCTCTCTTGAACATTCATTTGGGTGTGTATGAAAACAGGGAGACCTCCTTTCGGCGTTCCTATCCTATTATATCAGTAACAGTGGATGATGATGTAAAGGCCTTGTTCAAAAAAGTCGTGATTTGCTGATTTGCTTGTTTACTGACTGTTACAGGTACGTAACAGGACCAACCCAATCTGTTACACACCCGTGTGGCCCATGAAACGAAACCGTCGCCGCAAGACTCCCAACGTCAATGCGGCCATGCCATGCCATCCCATGTTGGGAACCATCGGGAGCCCATACAAAACCGATTGCTAATGATCCTGATGAATTGGGGCTTCATGTTCATCTGCAGGGGAGTAGTATGGTGAGGGGCTGTGAACTGTGAACAATTTGCAAGTGGTCCTCAAACACATTCGACATTCAACCACTGTGCTGTACTCGTTTGGAGATCCACCGTACTCTGCTTCGCCCGGCTTCGCCTCCCCATCGCACACGCCCCGCAGCATCCGCCGGAAGCTGGATAACATGGACTTGGTGTCGAGATGAGCAGACACGTGACACGTGACCCAATACTCCAGGATGGCCTTGGACTTGCTGATTCAGAACCACAAAACACATCTTAACAACCAAAAATTACATAACCTCCTCCACCCAAAACAGAAAAACACATCACTCGAAGCAAAACCAAGATGGCTGAGAGGGCAACAAGCCCCAAGGCGACCAAGACTTGAACCTGAGCCGCATGTGTGTGTGTGTGTGTAACACCTGGTGACATACCTGGCGACGCACAAGCCACAAAACGATCAAATCATCTCAGTCGCATGGGGGTGCCGGTGGCCATTCTGATTTATGCAAGCAAATGCAAATGAGCAAGCTGTGTGCAACTGCTTGGATTGTACCTGGTACTGTTCAAAGCCTATTGGCCTGCACAATATGAATGCTGAATGCCATCATCTTGCAGTTGCTCCTCAAGAATTTGTATATAACCAAATATCCGTCATGAAAACGTGGGCATTCTTCACCTACGGTGTATACCCTACGTACCTCTATGTACCTCTATGTACCTCCACTCCTCACCCTCCCCACCCACCCCGAAACCAGCGCGTCTGAAGCATTCAGCGCGTCTGCTGCTTGGCCATCGTGCCACCACGAAGCCCACGCGAAGACCACGACATCGCCGAAGGCCACGTGCGACGCAGAGGCGTATTGGCCGATCTCCGCCAAGGAGATGGCCGCCTGTCGGTTTTGGTTGGGAGCATATGTTGGCCGTATGGGTTGACTCCTGGGGTGTCCCTGATTCTTTTGTTGAGGCGTATGGGTTGACTCCTGGGGTGTCCCTGACGACGGAGTCAAAGCCATGTGAGTTGGTTGAAGCTACCATGGTCTGCTTGGACCTTGAAAAAACACTCTTGGGTTCTCAGCATGATCCTTCATGTCTCAGACTGAGGGGGTACTGCACCGATGTTCAGTACGTCGACTTTCTCGGCAGTGAACCTGACAAAAGAACATTAGTGAATCATTAGTGTTCACCTGTGTCTTTTTTGGGGACATGCCGTCTAAGACGGCAGCTAGATGGAGCCATCTCATATGTTCGATCAACGTCTCGATCAGGCTGGATGGAGCCATCGATTCACGAACTCTTTTCTCTTGGAGCCATCATGTCGACGTAGACCTACTGCTCAGTGGCCGCGGACATGGTGGCCTACTGCTCAGTCCCACTGCTGTCTCCGGCCGAAACTTCAGGTGCCTAAGCCCTTGTCTGCGAGTCGTTTGTTCGAACACCCATGGTGGACGGGAAGGACGAAGGAACGAGCCTTGGCAACTAGGGTTTTTCTGGGCAACTCAGCTCTTTCATGGTCACCTCCTGGTGTTTGTACCACGCAAAACCTACAAGTAGGTTGCTGGCAGGCTGATGTAAGAAAACACTGTAAAATCACTGCGTTCTAGAAGCTGGCTCATCATCTCTCTAGGGCATCCCTTCGGTAAATGAACGCGTTCTGTACACCCACGGCCAATGTGGGTGATTCCCTGGTCCTTGAGTGCAGGTCATGTTAAACCCTGCTGTGATAACTCTGGAGCTCCCCAACCTGTGCCGGACAAGCTGTCGCGGTGTCGATGAAGATCACCGAAAACAGGATGCGAGCACTCACGTTGAAGACCTGCTTGCTCATTGCCCGCTCTTGAGTCTCCTGCGCATTTTGCCACAGTGGATACAGCCTAAAGTAGAAAACGCATGGCCCAAGGAAACTGGAGGTGAAACCAAAGATCATGTGAAGTTTGCAGCTTCCCATTCCCAAGCCATCCATGTATAGAATATATACTTACACGGCTGGGTATCAATCGCTGTATAATAATGTATGTAACTAGTAGCTTCTTGTTCCTAGTAGTAAGGCCAGGAGCCCCGTTCATAGCGTCCTTGTTCGTAGCGATGCCCAATGGCTACTAGTAGCTTCTTGGTAGTAACTGTTCCAGGGGTCCAGTTCCATGCGTCTGGGATTCTTCGGCTTTCCAAGGTTCCATGGTCGGGTCCGTGAATTTAGGTCGACGTTGAATGGAGAAGCCGGCATCGCTGCTAGCGACGCTAGTTGGAGGCCATCGCTATTAGGTTGGAGGCCATCCCCCCCTTTAGGAAGAAGCTACTAGTAACAAGGTGCATCACCACTAGTAACAAGGGCATCACTACTACTAGCTAGAAGCTCAGGTGTCGTCTCCCGCTGCCAGTAGCTCTGTATGCGACCAAAAACATAAAAACGTCTCCTGCTGCCAGCAGCTTGCCAGCACAGTTAGACCAAAGCCGGTGTAGTAAATGATGTACAAGGTCCGAAGATTCCTGTGTTAGACCGAAGGGCATGGGGTGTGTGGAGGAAGCCATCCACTCTTGAACAACTCGAGTGGATGAAGCCAACAACAAAAATCCTGTCCACCCTGGAATTCCAGTGCACAAAACAGTTGTCTAGAGGAGATGTGTCCTGGCATTTCACAGTGGAATTGCTTGTCTTCCGGACTGTAAAAGAATCGTATATATCTGAAACAGCCTGTCTTATTGGTCCACAATTGATTGAATCCACTTCTCCTTCCCTTCCAGATTGCCCTCTCCAAACAAAGACAGTGATGCATGTATACGAAGATCATCAAGCATAGCTGGCTCAGGCTCGAGAGGGTCGGCTCGGTATAGAAGTTGTAACTCAGACCAGTCACGGCAATGGCGCTCTGGTGAATGAAGAGTTCAGTCGCCTCAGGATGACCAAATCAATGACTGAAGAGTGGGGAAAGGAGTCCAACATCGATGTTCGTACGGTGACTTCGATGTTGTTCGTACGGTGACTTCGATGTTCTTCGAGACACGTAAATCAGTCACTTTACATGGTCTTGGGACACATGTGAGGACCTACATCCGAAGGCGGACCAGGACACATCCGAATCACCTTGCAAGGAGCTTGTTTGACACCCCCTTGGCGGGACCTGGTACATTCTTCTTACCCATCTTCTCCATAGTCTTGGGCATCCAGGCAAACCACTGTAATCAGCTGGTAACCAGTGGTTACAGTTCGACTAAAACTATAGACGCAAGTCAGTCATGGTTGCTTATATAGTGGCTGCCTGAAGGCCTCTGGGATTGGGCCGCGCACCACGTCGCGCACCACCGTTGCGGTTGAACCGGCTTGTCGATGGACGAGCGTCGCTGAGAACCGGTGGAAGTGGTGGAAGGGTTGATGAATGGGCACATGTTCGGGGCTGCATTCTTGCCCTTCTGCTTTCAATGGGTGTTCTTTCAATGGCCATGCTGTGTTATACCTCTGAGCCATACCCTGAGCCATTCAAACATCACATCTCATGAATGAGCGTATGTGTATATATATATATTCTTGGCCACAAGAGACCACTGAGTTTAAGAGAACTGGCAGACGAGGAAACAAGTCGAAGACAAAGAACAAAGGACCACTGCCGTGTTTCTTGGCTAGAGCGATAGCTCTTACTTGCCATTTGGCTCCTCGAAAGATCTCTCAATTCATGTCAGTGGGTTTCCAACTTTGTAGCAAGCACACATTGAAGATGACGACCACGGAAACCGCATGTTCATGGCAATGGGATCCTGTGACCTTGCCCGTGTCTCAGATGGCTGTCAAAGAAACAAAGCTGTCCAAGTAGCATGTCGGTATGCACGACCTCGCACATCCCACAAGGCCTGTGCCACTTCTGCATCTCGGCCATCTTCGGGAGAAACTTCCATCCGCTTGGAGAAGTGGAAGCCGAATGCCTGGACAAAGCTCCTTGCCGGCGCAATTATGGCCTGCAAGTGTCCACGGTACTTCACCACCTGGACAGCACCCAGCTGGCACCGAAGTCTGATGAAATGTGAAAAGTCTGACGTTGTTTCAACCTCGACCTGGAAAAACACTCTCCATGTGAGTCGGGAGTGAACATCATTTACAGTCTTAATTGTATTCTCAAGTCTGTCAACTAATAAAGCTTCCTTTGAAAAGAAGCCAGGTGAGTCACATGATGGCCGAGGAAAAGCAAGTTGAGAGTCATGATCATTCCTGCTTCGAAGGCCATCGATAAACGAGGCCGATCCAATCAGCGCAGCTTGCCCTGGGATCTAGCAGCTTTGGCGCAAAATGGCCACGGGCAGGCGATTCCTTGAAAATGCTTTCTGCTTTTGCATGTCTTGTGTGGTCATTGGTCATCATAGCAAACAAGAGTTATTATCGAACTGAAGGTCTCATGATCAACTCTGAGACATGTCATGTTGCTATCCAACTGCAAAAAACTCAAGAGTTTTTTGATACAGAACATTGACAACATCTCTTACAGCGGTTCCACCCAGTGCGGATGATCCCTTCCTGGAAATAACATGGAAGTGGAAAAGCACCTGTTTGGTATTCGGAAAATGGTCTTCCTTTCGGGGCCATGCCATCCACGTAACCATGTGAGTTCCAGGAGTGTAGTCCTCCCTCCAGCGTCGAACGTGTTGATTCCATACAGCACGAGTTGCACGATCATCGCAGCAACGATTCGACTGTCAGCTTCTATCATTCACGTTTGGGCTCCAGTCGTACTTTCTGAGAAGGTCTTTGGGGTCTTTGAGGTGGGTCTGGGTGCCAGGAGGGTCCAGTCATACCGAACCTGAGGAGGTTGATTCCTGGGGGGGCATCCGGGATTCTTGGAGACATGGTAATGCAAACGGTTCATTCATACCATATAAAACCCCTCTATTTGGCTGAAATGAACCGTCTACATGATATGATCCATTCCCAGTATATCCGGATACGGCGGTCATCGACGATGGCACCTCATGTCGACCGTACGCCAAGGGCACTGGCACGCCATGGGCACGCCAAGAACGTCGACCGTACTTGCACTGTATGAGAACCTCCCTTAGGGGAGGTTGCCCCCTGCTACTGCTAGTGAGGCAAGCACTTTTGGGTTGTTGAACAACTTAGTAGAAATGCTTTGGAACTGGCATGTTGTTCAGGAAGGGCGAATCAAAGAATCACGTGCAAATTTCCTTAGGTTGCGTGTCATCTACTTTGGCTGTGGTGCAAGGGGGATCGCTTCCGAGCATCCTCAGCATTGACCCATCCTTTCCAACCATCACTGCCTTTGGCACTGGTCAAACACAGTGAGGTACAGGACCACAGTCCTTTCATCATCCAAATTCTGGTTTTGAACATCGATGGATTCCCTACAGTCTGTCTGCCTGAAACCAAACACGCCACAGGAAGTCCGAAAGTGTTGGGCTGTGATTCATCGTGTTGGTTTGTTAAACCGGTTCTCGAATGGATTCCATCCAAGTCATTACCCAAGTTTCAGGCTATCAGACAAGGGGCAAACCGCCTGTGATGGTTGGAATGTCTCAAAAACAACAAAACATACAAATCCTACATATTGGCTGTTCCCCAACGTGTCTGGATTCCAGATCATTTGACCAATTCCCCATCAAGCAATATGGGAGATTTCTACAGCAACATGCTGTAACATGAGTTGTTCAAGTCGACAAATCAGTCACCTTTCAAAAATTCTGGTAGTACAAAAGGACAACCATGTATATATAACCACACTCAAAAGGATTGAATCCGCAAAGCCTCCCTGAAGTCGAAATGGCGAGTAACTGAGTTCTGACTGCACCGATGTTTCAGTTCGGTTTACTCAGGAAACAATCATTACTAACAGTATATTCCAAGAGAAGCGCCTGTTATTTCACCAAACAACAAAAACCTTTGCACATGCAGAACACATCACAAACTTGATGATGCTTTAGACTTAGATCGACAATCCGTCTAGCATTGTTCGATCTTCCAACGGGCACGCTCCAACGCGGAGGAGTTGTTTAAAAAGCGGCTACAGTACCTCATAATTGCTATCAAATCCGTATGACTTATGGAAAAAAAGAGCACAACATAAACACGCTCTTAAACACACACACACACACACTTGCAACTGACTGCAATGCACACCCCGCGGTAGACTGTGAACAAGAACAGCGTACAGTGGCATACAAATCCCGTGGATCTCACACTAGAAAAACAACACATTGACTTCGAGCAATCCGATGGGTCTGTTTTATGACATTTTTTAGTGTAGGACACCCCACTGAATGGTCCTGGTTGACTTCGAACACAATGTGACTTGCTACCATGACACACTCACAGCATACCAAGTCTCCCATCTGCCCCATCTCCGCCCAAACGACGAACGCCCAAGCTTTGTAGGTATTTTGTTCGCCATAGTTTACCCTAAAGCGTGAAGTGTAAAAGTCTGCTCAGCCACTGTTTATCCTGAAATGTTGACTTCGGTGGATACACACAAACAGCACCCAGCAACATTGACGCTGACACTGACAGCTACTCACAGGCAGGGCGTTGCAATATGGTCACCAAGCACGTTCGTGATGTCAATCGCATGGAAGTCAACAGTTTGGTGCGAGGCCATGCTGCTAAAGCCATGCAACCAGGGGCCTCAGCATGAGGCAGGCTTCGTCCACTGTCAGCTTGCGGTTCGCTTTAGAACCGACTTGCAGAGCGACCTGTTCGCTGACTCTACTGGCCTCTCACATCCAACTCCAGGGCCAGGCTCCAGTGACACGGCGAGGCTGCTGCCCAACACGGAAAGTGACCCATCCATGTGCGGTGCACGTACGTTTCTGTGCCAGTTCGCCAAAGAGGTGGACACAGAAAATGAAGTCGCACCCTGGCTTGGCCGCCCGGAATGAGAGGACCCATGTGCCCGGGAAGCGCTCTGCCTCGCTTCCGATCAGAGCCCACCATCCAGGCTGACATGAAACTGAAGATTGACTGAAGAATGCCCAGCTCACACTGAATCGAAGAATGACACATTGCACTGACTCTCCTGGAAGCCTGACAGGTAATGAAGGCAGGGCCAACGCACCATATTAGACAATATATTGAGAAAAGCCAAGAACAAATGGCTTCCAGTCGAAGAACTGTGACAAAACATGACACAGACACACACCTCTAAACAGGCACGTCTCAAAACAAACTGTATGAAACACGCAACCATGATTCTTAGGGAGCGCTGTATAGCAAACCTATATTATCAAATATCTGTACCGATCGGTGTATATCTGTCACTCATGTTCAAACACATGCAAGCCCCTAAAACATACTTAAATATAAAAAATTATATGTCTTGATCAAATCCATACTATACTAGACTTATTATTCTTGTAAATATCATTTTAGTCAATCCACTTTCTCCCACCTTGGTCGAGCGCGGTAATTGGAGTGGGCCGGAGGATGGGCGAAATGTCTTCGCAAAACCAAACCGCAGTGGGTTTTCGGGGTATTGGTGATCACCTCCCCGCACAAGCTTCAACGTGTTCGATTCTCTAAATCATTGGAAGCAAACTGCTCTCTATATAGTTAGTTGTTTTCGTTTGTTGCAAGGATTGACGATTGAACAACACCAGCAAATCCAGGCTTGTCAGCGTCTTTGTGAACCCTTGCTGCGCTCAAACTCTTCCTCATATTCATCCCTTGATTTCGTGAATGAAACTTTTGTTCCACAACCACACGACAGCAGCAACAATGAAAACAAACATAAACACCACCATGTCACGCCCACCAACAAATAATAAACAACAACTTTAGCCACTCCCTGTAGCTCCCAGGCTCTCTATTGAAAGGGGAATATGGATACCTTCGGCTCGATAGCTCCCTCAGCACCAGTTAGACAAAGAAGTTCAACTTTGGAACGACTTCCTCCAGGAATTCCATGACGTAGCCGTATCGTTTGTGCAGAAAAACCACCGGTCGAGTCGGTCGAGGTGTTTGGCAACCGAGGTAAACCCAGAACCCGAATCGATTCTGCCCAGGTCTCCAGGCACAATGGAGGTCTCGGTGGACACCTTCACCGTGGAGGTCGGTCTCGCTGCTTCGCTCGCGGTCGCTTCGGGTGCCTCGGCCGCGTCTTTGCATGGCATGCTCAAACAGAACCACGGTCAGGGCGGTGGTTCGAACGAAAGTCAACAAAGCGTTGTTTATGTGATTTATTTGTTAAACAGTGGGTCATGTTAGACGGACTGTGAGCGAGCACACCAGGATAGACCATGATAGACCAGCCAATTCTCCTGTGTGACTAGTAAGTTGTCTATTTCTTGAAGCTCCGGGGGTGTCTCGGAAACCAACCCAACCAACGCAACAAGCTCAATCAATCTGAAACAACTCCTTTTCTAGCAGGTCCAAACTGATTGAAGGGAAGTTCCTGTGGGTCTTCTCTTAGATCAAGCTCCTCCATGAATCCACACAAGTTAGAAGTGAACGGGCCAGCTCGTGTCTGAGTGTCCGACTGTGTGTCTTCACAGTCTGAAGATGTCCAAAGTCAGACTTCCTTTTTGGACGCTTCAGTCTTGACCAGCTCCATTCCCCAACAAAAAGGCGCGAGAACCACGGTCCCTGTCCGTCACGGCCTTTCATAGGCAGTGACGTCTCCATTCCCAATAGTTTTTTTGACCAGGTTCTGTGATCTTCTATCTGCTTTTGCTGGCACAGCGGCTGTGAGCGCTGTGCCAGTGGCTGAGCCAAAAGCGGTCTTCGGTAGATCTGGGATCACGATCCTGAGAAACGCTCAATGGACCCTCACAATTTCTAGGGCTCCAGTCGTAGCTTCTAAGGAGGTACGACTGGAGCGGAAAGGGCTTTTCCGTCGAACCAATCATCGAGTCATCTTAAGGGACCTGTCAGGGGGTCTTAAGGAGCGTGGCTTTGCATGGTGTGACTGAGGAAAGTTTCACCCCCTTTGTTTCCTTTGCATGCAGCCCTTATTCCCTACTAAGCACCAGTCAGATGTCTGGCTATCTTCTCAAACACGCAGCCTATTAACCTTCTGTGACTGCCAATACATTGGCAGGTTGTTTCTTCAAGGGATCGGAGCAAACACGCCACCCGTCACGCCACCCGTCAAGCCTCGGTCGTTCGGAAGATGGCCCCGTGCTCGCGAATTCCCCTCGTCCCCAGGGTCCTCGGCCCACCTTTCAGGAAGCTTTGAAACCTGGGCCGCAGAAAACAGGTGTGACGATCACAACAAACAAAAACACCATCGCTCGCAGCTGTGACGCACACGCCAAGGGTGAAAACACACGATGGTGACG